GTGTAAAAGTTGCCAAATACTGCGTTGCAACAAAATGACGCCTATGTTTGATCAACGGAGAGCTCGAGAGAGGCGCTGCTCCAGATCCGTCCTCTCTCCCCGCATCTCGAACCACGTCGACTGCTCCAGTAGTTGCTATGACGTCAGACCGAGGAACGCGTGGGCGTCTCTGAATGAACACGCCAGCCGGGATAAGGTTATACGCGAGCGTATGGTCGATGGAACGAATACAGTGAACTCGCAAATTGAAAGAGGCGTGTGAAGGGTGCGCGTTTGGGCGTAGGAAGATAAAGAAGCCAAGGTCCCCGCTGGGCTACCATCTCAAACTGTTCCGCCAGCCGACCCACGCCGACCAATTCTATTCCTTTCGACCATATTGTGGTAGCGAATTTCTGAAAATAACAAAAATCGAGAGTCAATTCCCACGTCACCCTTAGGGGTTGGACGCAGTTGTGACATTTGTGGGGACGAGAATATTAGTTTGCATATTCCGTCTGTTCGTTGCGTTTGTTGGTTCTTGAATCAGTGACGAACACTTCGAGTTTCATGTAAATCGAAATCATATTTCTTGGAAGTAGATATTATCGTCTATGATCGAATCAAATCGGATCGTACTGGTTCCGTGTTCTTCGTGTTTGCTCCAAATTCACTACATGTATCGCTATATATTATATAGTATTATTCTTTCTATTTTAGCCTGCTGAAGTTAAAAACTAGAAAAAAATCGATATTTCAACTTCCAAATGCTACCATTCTTTTTCTGTCTGTGATTCTGCAATTTCAACAATTTCTGTCCCGCTGAATAATATTTTTAGATCAATTTTCCAGACTAAATTATTAACCCTTTCGTTTGCATTATGTGTACAGCCAATACATCTTTCGAGTCTTCATTAATGGGTAAACTTACTTTAAAAACATCCGCCTCTTGACTAACTCCCGCGCTCATTTTCATCCCCCCAAAATCCTTGTTTCTCGCCACAACGTCACGAAACTTTGTCATTTAATTATAATTTAAAAAAAAATTTAAAAAAAATCGATTTTCAGACTGGTCCCCATTTCGTTGCTGATCGTACGCGTCGGTTTGATACGGGTGACGTCGCGTAATCGGATTTACAACCCGCTAAATTCGTCCCGGTATCGCGTCGTCGATAGTATTGGTGGGCTTTGTGCTGCCCTCCTGGAGCACTCGCGACGCTGATGGTGCTGTCGCCACCGCCGCCGCCGCCGCCGCCAGGCTGCTTTATACGCCTTTCACTCCGCTGGTCTCAGTTCGCTGCTGCCTCCCGCGAGCCGCGGATCTATCGGTCGGAGCTCGAGCACGCTCACGCACATACTCGACGCAAATACCTCGCGAACGGTTTCGCGATCGTTTCGATATCGTTCCGTGTGTCTTTGCTTTAGTGAATACCAGCGATTCTGGATCCCGCGTCTACGTTGGAGCACCGTGAATCGAGTCTGGGCCACTCGACGACTCCCGTCGAGTGCTTCTTCATGGTAAGCCTGCACAGAGAACGAAAGAGGGACTCGTCGATGCCACGGGATTGATTTCCACGCGCGCTGGACGCGTGCTCCACAGGTGGTGCGACTTACGTTCTCGTTCCCCTCGATCTGTCGCGATCACAGTGCTCCGTGGATCAGTGAAAGTTACGTGATTCCGTCCAGGTGGATCTCGTCGGTTCCGCGTCGTGAAATTGGAACAGTGGTTGCGTTTCGCGACGCATCTCGAACGATCAGTGTTCAATTTCATCTGTTTAAGAATTGCAACTTGGCCACTTATAGCTCTGTCCTTGATATTACATGGTAGCTGTAAATATCATCCCTGAACGAAATCTTTTTTGCTCGTAAATTTAGCTCCCTTGACCCCGTGTCACTGTCATTCGATTTGAATTTACGATTATTTTCTGCCCATTAGCGTTCGACTATTCTTTGGTAATAGGAGCACGGAGAGCAAATACAGAGCTCGAGGAAATAATTTCGAGAAGCGTCAGCTTTTATCGGTATCTCAAACAAAAGATTTCGTTTTTGTCTTCGACCTTTGTTCCCGGCCTTCGTCGGAACGTGGCTAAAACCTAATCAAAGGAACGGCACGCAATTTCTGCTGGCGATGCAAACAAGAGTGGATGAAAACTGATCCCTGTTGCTACACGGGGGCTAATAAAGATTACAGTTAATCGTCAGGTTACGCGAATGATGTAACTTTTTCCCCCAAAATTTCTCGATCGTCGAGTTTCGTGGATCGGCGACTTTTACTCCGATTTTCATCGCGCCAGCTGAGAGAACAGAAACTTAGCGACGCGTGGACGCAATGTGTGACGCAATGCGCCGTAATCGACGCGGCTGTTAGCTAATGAAGTTACCACGATCAGGTGTTGTCGTTCCCAAGTGCACGGTGAGAACTCGCGGGGAAAGAGTGATCGAGGTTTCGTTGTTGTTTCGAGAATTTCACTCCCACGTCGCGGTCAAATTCCTATCCAGCCAGAAATTCACCACAAATAATCGCGCGTTCGATCAAATAAAAATAAAAATTCGAGTTACCAAACGAGAGGTTCTCTGAAATAAAAATTTAACGATCGAACAGACTGTGCTAGGTCAGTCCTACTCTTGAAACATTTATACCCGTTCTTTGCAAGTAACGAATAATTACGCGTTAGTCTTATTTGCATGGACGATTATACATATTGCGCTGGCTCGGATGGCGATCGAAAAAGTTCGCGTTATCGGATCACGAAGCGACGATAATTCGAGCATTATCGCGCTCGCGGTGAACTCTAACCTGCGTCCCGTGCACGTTTCTATGACTCATGTTGTTTTTCCACGCCGTTTTTCCGCGTCAATTCAGGTCTCTGTTAAAAAATTGAATCGTCGTGGAGTCGGTACTCCCCCGCGTACGCGACGATAATGATCCAATTTCGAACGCAATCGGTCGCTGGAATAACGACCACTAACGAGGGGCGTTATCGAACTGTCCGCCATCGATATTCTTCTACTTGAGACACGTGTTTTGTTAACACTTTTCACTGCCATATGTGGGATTTACCATTATGATAGTAGAAAAATTAATTCTCAAATTAACACATTGAGGAAAACAAATGTGAATTTTAACAGTGTCAATAAGTCCTGAAACAAATTTTAGATTAAATAGCTTACAATGGTTTGAAATAAGAATTTAATTTTGCAGAATATTATACGGCTTTGATCTGGCAGTGAACATGTTAATTAAATCTAAGAGATACTTGCTGCTGTTTCTTATTCCAACAACGAAACGAAAATTTATTTTAGAAGAAACGTAGATCACAAAAGAATCGATCGAATACTGAATTTTAAGAATCTTTCCCACCAATTGCACGTGACTTTTAAAGTCGTTCTTCCGTCAACGTGATTTAAGCCAAGAGTATTTAAAGAAATCATAGCGAATATGAAAATTGGATGCAAGCCAATTTCGACAACGAAAGTTAATACACTGTGTTAAAAGAACGTAATATAAACAGAAATATAATAATCATGAGTCACGATGATTATGTCAGGCAATTTATTTAGAACGTGTTCCCGAATCTTTGATTTTAGCTCGCAGTCGGTAACATTTAATAGGAAATGGTATGTTTAGAGACATATTTACGAATAGATAATACAACAATTATACGTAATACAATAAATTAAAATAATATAGATCGTCGATGCCCGTCGTAGACTCAGTAATCAGTTCTATCGAATCAAAGAAGTTTCTCTGCAGCGCACAGTTGTTTCCTGTTATCGAAGTCTTTTTTTCCCCCCGACGTGGCCAGTAATCGTTGACAATTCAACGAGCGCGTTCTTAACGAGGCATTCAGCAACGTCTAGCTTCAACGTTTGCCAACGTTGGCGCGATTCTCGCTTCCTCGAAGACACACGAAACTTCGAGCGATTCGTTCGCGTCGAGAGATTCCAGAAATTAGCAAAATTTTATTCAAACAAGAGCGCAATAATCCATCCACCAGACGTTTTATTCGATCCATTTATTTCCTTTTATCCGTTCCGTGATTCGAATGGAAATTTTTTATTTGCTCCGTAGTTGATAAAAATGTTGCCCCTTCGTAGGAGAGTCCATTTAACAAGAGAACTCGAAAGAGGTCCGTGTGGACTGGCGAACGTGCATACTACCCGGACGTAACCTCGTGGCATTTCGAAATGTGCGCTCGTACAACTCGACACACATACACGCGTCGTTTAAGGGCGCGTTTCGCCGCGACGGATAGCGATTGTGCTCGAGAATCCCGTCCCAAGAATTCTCGAGGCTTTTTTTAACAAATTTCCATTCATAAGCAAGCGAGATCCCCCGTCTAGATAAAGGAACGAGAAAAGAGCGAAAGATCTGAACAACAGAGTCTGAAGACGAGTATTTCCAATTTATTAATCTATGCACAGTATATTGATCGTAAACAAGTTTCGACTACAAACTCCTCTATTTATTAAAGAACAAATTTTTAAATCTATAATAATAAATTATAAAATAACGAACACGTACAATAAATTTGAGAAGCGTTATAGAACTGTTGGTGAGATACAACAACTTACGTAACTTAATTTCTTGCACTGAAACGCCTCCTTTGTTCCGTACTTCGTCACATCTCGTTTCGTTCGTTATAACGCTTTTTCTTGTTCGTGGAATGAAGAAGATTAAACGAAACACGGCTTGGTAAATCAATCTCGCTTTTCGATGCAAGTTGCGATCGAAAAAGGTCAATTGTTTCGTTCGATAAAAATTGCAATCTGAAATATAAAATTGAATCGTATTTCGCGTTGAATATATTACATAAAACTATCGGAATAACTGCTCGAATATATGCAACTCTGTTTCCAATTTAAAAAAAAAACATCAAGACGAGAATTTACAAGAGTTCAACTCCATTTTATATACAGCAAAGAGGAATAGCTTCTGAATGCTGAAATTTCGTTTGCAACCTAAATGTTTGACCTGAGAAACGAAGCAGTTACTGACGCGTTTTGTTCGATTTGTGTTGCAGTGTGGCTCCCTGGAGATCGGCGAGGAACGCCAGCGTCGGGTCGCAATGATGGAGTCCCTGTGCCAGGTGAACGGCACCAAGACCAATGGCGGGAACGAGAACAGCAACAGCAACGCGAACAACAACCCGGACTGTCCAGATCCCCAGCAGAGGTTGGCGGTGCTCAGCTTCGAGCAGGTTCGTCGGTTGAACGACGTGATGAACGAGATGGTGTGCATCCACGGTAGAGGCAACTTTCCCACTCTGGAGGTCCGACTTAGGGACCTGGTGACCGTGGTGCGCAGCAAACTGGAGTCGGACCCGAGCAACGGCGGGGCTGGGATGAGGGTACGTGACATACGGTTGAACGGGGGCGCCGCGTCTCACGTTCTGGCGACGGAATCGCAGCCGTACAACGACCTGGACCTGATATTCGCGGTGGAGCTGTCCAGCGGGCGTAACTACGACAAGGTGAAGGCCGCGGTGCTTGGCTCGCTGTTCGACCTGCTGCCCGAAGGCGTGAGTCGCAAGCGTATCACCACGTGCAGCTTGAAGGAGGCGTACGTCAGCAAGATGGTGAAAGTGAACAACGACGGCGACAGGTGGTCCCTGATCTCCCTGGGCAATTCACGGGGTCACAGGAACGTCGAGCTGAAGTTCGTCGACTCGATGAGGCGGCAGTTCGAGTTCTCGGTAGACTCGTTTCAAATAGTACTCGACTCCCTATTGCTGTTCTACGAGTGCAGCAAGCTGCCGATCGGCGAGAACTTTTACCCGACGGTGGTGGGCGAGTCCGTCTACGGTGACTTCCAGGAGGCACTCTACCACTTACACAAGAAACTGATCTCGACGAGGCATCCGGAGGAGATACGCGGCGGCGGTCTCCTAAAGTACTGCAACCTGCTCGTGAAGATGTACAAACCCTCCCAGCCCGACTACATAAAGACCCTCGAGCGATATATGTGCTCGAGATTCTTCATCGACTTCCCGGACATCAGCCAGCAACGCGCCAAGCTGGAGAACTACCTGTGGAATCATTTCGTGGGACCGGAAGAGGAGGCCCTCAAGTACCCATACCTGATACTGCTCCACAACGTGGTGGAGGAGTCGACCGTGTGCCTGATGGGACACGAGAGACGACAGACCCTGGTGCTGATCGACAGCCTCGCGTACCAGGTACTCTGCCAGGAGCAGCAGCAACGGCTGACCAGCCATCAACAGGCGCCACCCGGTCCGCCGGCCACCTACGTTTACGCGAACGGCTATTACTACGCTCCCGTGATACCCACCGCGTGCTACACGTGCACCTGCAACTCGTGGATGGCGTGCTCGTCGTGATGCGACCCCGACGCCAACGCCATCACCACCGCTACGACCACGGTCACCGACGTCCGCGGCACGATCGACGCCAGGCGTCCACGACACGCTCGACACCGTCGTCCCTGCGTCCTCGAGGTACTCGGGGACGAAACGTCGACCTTGAGCGACTCGATCCTCAGTTGACGCTGGAGCGTGACGCGGACGGACGAAGAGGAGCTAGCTTGAGCACGGTATTCTCCGTATTCGTCGTCGTTGGGGGTCGTCGGTGACAGTGACCAGGGTCGAAGGAAGACTGATGACATACCGGGGGGAAAAGACGACGGGTGCGTCTCTTCTTTTTCCCCCGGACACGCGGTGGACGCGCTCAGTTGTCGCGGGAGGACCAAACGCGACGGTAGCTTTGTACTACGGTCGTAGGGGATCAACTGAGAGACTACAAGACTCCAAGCGAAACGAATACAAAGTAACAATTGTGTTGTGTGCCTAACATTCGAGCGAGAGACAGAAAGGGAATGCATATATATTATATATACACACATATATATATATATACACACACTTACACGCGCGAATAAATGAGGGGATCGTCCGATGAGACTCCGATGGTCGATGGACGCTCTTCAGGACGCGCGTAGTTTCACGGTGAGAGACTGTGCGCGCGCGTGTTGGTCATTCCCAACGAGAGGGACGGATTTCGAGATCCCGCGGTCGAAGAGGAACGCGGAGGAAACACGGGGGATGGAGATCACGGGCGACTTGGACGGAGCGCGCACTCGCGAGAGAATCACGACTGAAAATTCACGGAAGCGTCTCGCCGGGCGCTCCGGTCGTCCCCCTTTGAACCTTCATTTCTTATTTTTTTTTTCCAGAAACAGAAAACCAGAGAAAACGTAAAAAAAAAATAAAGATATAATAATAAATAAAAAACACATGTTTCGAGTAACGCGTGCCGAGAACAGACGAAGGTAGTGGTAATAACGGATCACAGACGGACAAAAAAATGAAAAAGTAACCGGGCGTGGCGTTTGCAAACAAAAAATATTATAAATATATAAATATATATTTAAATATATAAATACATGTATAAAAATCTATGTATAAATATTAATGTGTGGCTGTGAACACATTTCATTTAGATACTATGTAACGTGATAAGATTGAAATCGAGGACGAGCGGCGCGCGATCGGTGCGACACGGAGTACGAGCTTACTGTAGAGGAAGGTGGAGGAGGGGGGGCGTGGGAGGGGAGACCGTTTTCCCATTCGTTTCTTTCTTTCGATTACCGCGCGGGAACCGCGCGCACACACACGCAACGGGCGAACAAACGTAAACGCGCCACGTACACGCGCGCACATTCGGAGCGGAAGAGGCGACCGATCGCGTCTCGGATAAGCGTGCATCGATCGCGCCGAGTATCTCCGGAACGGAGACGATTCTTTCGCGGGTTTCGAGGTTCCAAACGGAGATAAAAGGAGACGAACCCGTCGAAGGACGCGACCCAGAGGGGAACCTGGAGGCGCAGACCCCGTCGTCGCGCCTGCGCATGCGCCGTCGTTCGGCACCGCGACGAGTCTAGTCTCTCGCGGCGGCAACAGCTTGCATAACTTTCTTTATTAGATACCGTAATTATTTAATACCGCGAGCGAGAGCGTCGCCGCGTCCAAGATGTGTGCGGCGCGCGTGTAGGCGTGTGCGTGCGTTTATATCTCCGCGTGCATCTGCGCGCGTATAGGATCGTGTATACGCGCGCAGAACCCACCAGCCACGGATCTCCGGGAGCGTTTCTAGCGCGCGTCGATGTGTGCCTACGTGCGCACGCGTTGGTACAGAGAGGCAGAGTATGTGTGTGTGTGTGTGTGTATGAGTACGTACGCGTGTGTGTCGGTACCGTCTTTATATATGCGTGTCCGTATCGACTGGTGACCCCGTTAGTTAGCTCAGTCAGTCACTTTGCTCGCTCGCTCGCTCATCGGTTACTCTAGCCAGGCCTCGCTCGCTCACTCTTCCTTTCAGTTTGCAGGCGAAAGTAAAGGCCTAATAAAAAGCCCCGCAAACTGGTTTTTCTGGTATATCGCGTGTTAATGCTAAGGAGAGCCAGGCCGACTGGCGTGCACCCGGTGCACCTCTAGCCGCCGCTCTACTACCACCACCTTCACCCACCAACGCCGTAATCCTCGCCCGTTTCGCGATCGTCTCGCGTCTCGACTGTCACCCGGTGCGTTACCCTCCTCGACACCGACGTCGTCGACGTTCGCTCGAGTCCTCTCTCGTCTCTGCGCGTGACACGCGACGCGATACCTGGACGAGGGAACTCGCGGCGATCGGACGCGCGGACATACGCGAAGATGTCCCCCCAACAGACCAACGTCGCGATAGATTGTAATCGAATGAGTATTTTCGAACGCGTGTCGGAAACTTTGCTGGATCCCACGCGCTCCTTGGAGTCGCGAGCCCTCTCGACTCTCGAAAGTTTGACGAGCTTCACCGGGTACTCGTAAACTTCAACTGGAGCTCGGTCTGGCATTCGCGGTTTAGCATTGCGCGCGCGATCGTCGGAAGCGAATCCTCGACGAGACGACCGAGGCGAGGTACCTCGTCTCCGAAAGTATGTATTGCGTTCGAGCCATTCCTTCGATCGGATCGACTTCGAACGACCCTCGAACTACTTGGAAACTTCGACTGGAGTTTTGTTAGCGTTTGTGGTTTGGTATTGCGCGCGAGTGTTCAGCGTCGAGACGACCGGGGTCGATCTTGACTCGAAAAACGTGAATGGTATTGCCAACCGGGCTCTCCGACTGCTGCAATTTCTTTTTGCATTTGATGTTTAGAATTAGAAATGTGAATGTTCAACGAGACGACCAGAGTCTAGAATAGTATTAGATCGTCAGAATTCTAATGGAAGATAGCTTGCACTGTAATTATCGGTTCTGAAAATTTAAATAGCACGGTAGAACCTCTATTATTCTATAGAACTGTTTCCCTGCAATAATCAAAACCTTTTTCGAACGTTTAATTGCCCAAAATAAATGTTTCAAAGATTCTCAACAAGAACCTGGTTAATGTCAGTGACCGTAGGCTTTTCAGCCTGTTAATTATCTCGTCTCTTCGATGTTTTGATTAAGCTTGCATTGCCATTTTAATGGTAAATTGTAATAAAGGAGCAGGATATTCTACGGACTAAGGAAGGTTCTACCATTAAACAGAAGTTTGCTGCATATATTTAACAGTTCTTCGATTGAATAGCCTCTGACAACTCGTAAACTGCGCGAAGACTTCAGTCGAAGCATCGTACTTAAACTTCGGAACCCTACGTATTCCTTAAAAGCATGGAGCAGGATCTTCGTCGATTTTCTCAATCGTTAAACCCGTTGCTTAGAAACAGCCGTGATTGCTTCGTCAGATCTGTGTCTTCAACGTTCAAATCGTGGATTCGATTGTAAAATTTCGACCAAGGTTTCGCGTTAAAGTCAGCCTGTGATAGAAGAAAACCCGTAGATTTTCCTCGGTGCTTTCAGATAGTTGCCAAGAGATTTCAGTTGAAGTTTCGTTAGACCTCGAACGAGGAAGCGTAATATTAGAATTGTAAAACTGTACAACAGGGATCTAGGAAGACGAAACCGATGAGTCGAGACGTTTTTGGGGGGTGGCAAAGTTTCCAAACGTTTTCTCGACGCGCGCCAAAACTCGAATCGATCGAGAAAGGCTCCTTCGATGGTGGCAGAACGGTCGAAGGTAGGAAAGTGTCCTGTAAAAAGTATTCGTTTCGCGATCAAATCGGAGCAGACTGGAAATGTTTAATCACCGAGTCGGTTTCTCGTCGTTTGTTCGTCCGTCTCGTCGATGCTTTAATTCCTGAAAGCTTTAAATAGCATCCTCAACATCGATCACCGTCACAATCTGTCAGTTTCGATCTAGATTACCGATCGTTTTAACGTAGGTGACAGGTTTACGTATACATAAATATATTCGTTGTATAAATTAAACGTGTGCGTGTAACCCTTTAACCGGGTACATTCGTGAAGCTCGCGTATTTTATCGCAAACTTTTGTATTTTTACCGAAATCCTATCGCGTTAATAAACGTTACCGAATCAATCGTGCGTAAAGGTTTTTTAAACAGTTTTTATATGTACCCACTTTGGAGACAGTACCGACGAATCGTTATTAAAATATATCTGATTTCCACTCTTGCCTACGAAAATTTAAACGAAAAACTGATCACGGTTAAGGGGTTGATAACTCGACAGCTATCGATTTACTCGCATGTTTTCGCACTTCCTTCGACACGATCCAATCGAACGAGATATTTTTTATTCGCGTCGCGCCTGCTTCTGACGCGCACCGTTTTCAGCCCTTCGCGCGAGGGACTCGATTTTTTAGACGGAGTTTAGACCGTTCGACACCGAGGATTAAAGGAAGCACCGTAATATTTTTGTTTTTTAGAATGTATAGAAATCCAAAAAGACGTTTTATGGAATCATTTACTCACCGGCGGGGTTTGAGAATAATTGTTTTTTTTTTTAAGTACGCGGTTGGTTGCGAGATCGACGGTATCGGAACAGTCGTTCGTCGCTCGTTTTTCATTTTATCGATCGATTCCTTACGACGTGGTCGCGGCGATGTATCTCGAAGATCGATGCCTCGAATCGCCTTGAAAATTCACTCAACACCGATCTCCGCTTTTCCAAGAATTGATAACGACAAATTGCCAGTCTCGTTAACGGTTCGAGAAATTGTCAAAATTAATGGTGATTTTAAACGCTCGAGAGAAACAGCGGGAACGATATAATTTACGCAAGGTTTTAAGTAAGAATAATCAATACGCAATTTCCATCAAATTGTCCAATCGCACATTATCGCACCACACGCTATACTTACGTGTACCTCAATTTTCTGTTCGTACGGGCTAATTTTTTTTAATCGTAGTATCAATTTTATATTTATTACAAGGGTTGAGTCCGACACACGAAAGCAAGTATGGGGGCTCGTGATCCAGTTAGTCGTATTATTTCCTGTATGAATAATTTATTTTTTTAATTTATTTATCAGCGGGAACTAGATCCTTTTTGTACATAAAAGAAAAAAAGTAAAAAAAAAAAAAAGAGTAACATAATATGAAAAATATATACAAAAAAAATTAGGGACGATATATACTCGAATAATCTAGATTTCTTTTCTGTGCAATCGAGAGTACGGTGTAAAAAATATTTTCGGATATTAAGATTGTTTGGTTGTATACAACGTTATGTATATTTCTTTTGCTGTATGCACATGAATTTTTTTTGAATTGGGGTTTAGATTCTCTAATTAACGAAGTAAGTTTATGTAATCACGTTTATTCTGTAAGCGACTCAAAACGCACGAGTAGCAGAAACGATAATAAAAATACCTTATTTGCGATTGACAATTTGTCGTTATTATATCGACAAGCATACTCTTTAATATTTTCCAATAAGACGTTATCTTATTTCGTAAATCTCGCGGTTGCGTTGGCTAATCGTCGTTTTAATCTTCAGATCTCACAGACACGTACAAGCAACGTGACTTTTTTTAACACCGGAGGGAGAAACAAACGTTGAAAATTTAAAAGCACATTTCTTGATTAGTCTTCGCGTTTTATTAGTCTTTTATCCGATATTGTTTAAAATAGAGGTCGATTTCCCTGTTCGAAGCAGAGATAGGAAAGTTTGAGGTTCAAACGATCTTTAACTGCAGAAGGGTTAAAAAAAAAACTAGTCTAAGACCCCAAGAAGCATCAGAACATCCTCTGTAAAGAAAACTATACGGAAGAAGTTTCTCAAAATCCAGAATTTTTCCTTCCCTCCTCGAAGATTAAGAAACGATCGGTGTATACAAATTTTCGATCGAGTCGAGGCACCATCGTCGAAAACATCGCGTTCGATCGAGATTCGTACCTCGATCGATCGAAGGCATCGATTGCCCGCGATCCCTCGCGACTCTGATAAAGAGTTCGCACCGTCGGAATTACTGGAACGAAAGGTTCCTAAAAAAGTGCAATTTGCTCGAGGATTGACTCCCTTTCTTTCTTCTTCGAGCGTTCGGTATCGTCTTCTCTGCGCGACCTGTTCAATTCCCTCAACTCTGTCGCCATAAGTGGCGAGCAGTATTTTAGAAAGAAAAAAAGATCGCGAAAGGGAACGTGGTACCTCGAGTAAAGTAACTTTTCCATCCAATATGATT